TCATCGAATTAAGCTTTTAGTGACGTAAGGCTTCAAGTGCTTAAACGAGCAAAATATAACAAAGACATGATTGACATAAACTAGTATCCGCCTAGAACTTATGTTCTTGAGTCGTGACACTTGTACTTTGTACGACACACTATTGTTTCGGAGGAAATCCCATGGGCTGTCACCTCATGACAGGAAAAGTAATTTTGTGATTCCGAAGGGTCATAATAATATTTACTTTACACTTCATTTTATATGACATGTTCCCAAGTAATTTCCTCATCTATATTGACCTTCTATTTCTTAACAATGCTAAATTACATTATATATTCGCATTTCGTAACAATATTAAGCATGTGGTAAATGGTGTGCCTCAAAGGTCCATTTTAGGCCCGCTTCTTTTTATAATACTGGTGAATGACATGCCGACAGTGACAAAGAGATGTAAAATTCTCATGTACGCAGATGATACTCTATTGCATGTTTCATGCGGACAAGGATAGTGCGGCAATTCAAGATGTACTTACTAACGATGCTGACCGTGTTGCCTCGTGGATAAAAGAGAACAATCTTGCATTAAATTTAAAGAAAGATAAGACGGAGTTTGTGCTATATGGTTCTCATCAAAAGTTATCCAGGATGTCAAACTGTGAGGTAACTATTAATAATACAGTTATAAATGAAGCTTTTCCTACTGCTATCTTGGTGTTACATTGGATAATCATCTAACACTACATGAACACATTAATAACGTTTATCGAAAATGCTCTACACGGGTAAAACTTCTTTCCCGTGTTATCCCATTTAAAACCATTCTCATAGCGGGCGGTCAGCTTGAAAGTAGCTCTGATCTAAACAGAGATAATATTCCTAATGACTGCGATTTTGATAAGATAAATGTATACATGACTTCCAAACGAGTTACTTATGATGGGGAGCGCGAATCAAATGGTGTGACGATTACGAATCTTTGCAAGAATTTGTTGATACGGTTTTTTGTCAACAAGGGAAATGGCGGCCTTCTGGAGGCAATGCAAGAAGGTTCGACGCCTCTACTTCGGACCTCGTGGTGATATGTAACCCGGGGAAACTGAATACCTTAACCTTGAAAGGCACCCAGGGTATATTGGCCAGGAAATACTTAATCGATCAAAATGTTTTTTCTCAAAGAGTATACGAAGACCATATAAAGTCGCACGAAACGCGCTGTGATCGAGTCGACGACAATACAGATAATGCTATGTTTCAGATCGAAATAATTAAAAGTAGACTCGATGCAATGCAATCATTACAAGATTCTCTTCAAGAGGAATCCCTGTCCTTTACAGTATCGCATTTAAGTAACGAAATGAAGCTATTACAACTTGATTTCGAAGAAGAAAAGCTGAAAAATGCGAAATTAGAACTTGAAATCAAACACCTTCGCGAAGAAATTTGCATAATCAAATCTCTATACAATCCCACGACACGCTCGATTGAAGCTACTAAACCAAAGCATGGATATGACATCATTGAAAACGCATCTAATAGTGTTGAATTAACAAGTGAATCATGTAATGATACGGAGGCCGGAGTTGGGTTGGTAGATCAGATTGATGAACAAATTCGTGATTACCGTACTAAGCAGTATAATAGATATCATTCAGAATTTGTGGAGCAAACCCAATACGAACGAACAATTAATATAGAAACAGAGAACGCCTCGGAGCCCGCCAACCTAACGGTATTTCCACCAGAAAAAGAGCTTCAAATGAATGTACTGGAACGCGTCGATCCTAAAGAGGGCCTTACTGGTCCAAATCGGTTGCCAACTTCTGGATTTCCAGTGGTGAATAGGCCAAAAATAAAGAGTAAACAATAACACCGTGCCCCTTTTTAAAAAGGAGAGGTTAATGCCTCAAGGGTGATAGGTGTGATTTCCTACACCAACCTACTACATCGAAGGTGTATAGTCAGAAACATCAGTATCTTCCCTTTGAAAGATCTCCGCCTCCAAATATGCTATACCCAAATATTCCATACCATAATAATTATCTACCATCGTTCCCCCTTGTCCCTAATTTTTTGTCCCCGAACGGCTATCCTCCGTTTTGGCCACTGACCAGACCAATCCTGAACGGATTTCCATCACAACCATGAATATTCCAATTTGTCCTCCAATGTGCCCCCCTTGTCCCCCACCGCTCCCTCATATTCCTTCTTTTCCTCCTGTATCGACGAATGCTCCTACCTAGCTTCCACTACGTCACCATCAACTACACCGGATTATAATGCTTACCTTCCTAACCTTTTAATTTCTAACGTTCGATCTCTAACCCCGAAAATCGACGAATTACAGCTGGTTGCTAAATTAAATAATGTTGATATTATTTCCATTACCGAGACGTGGTTAAATGAGTCTATCCAGGACTCTGTTCTTTCGCTTGATAATTTTATTTTATTTCGTAATGACCGTGCAACAGCTACTGGTGGCGGAGTTTGTATTTTCGTCAACTCACGATTTTGTTGTACTAGAATGAATGAATTTGAAGCTTCCGATATTGAGTCGTTATGGGTATCTGTTCGACCATGCTACCTTCCACGATCGATCTCTGTGTTAGTAATTGCAGCTATTTATCATTCAACTGCAGCTAATAGTATGGACAATAAAGATCTTTACGATCATATCCAAGTCAACGTTGATACCTTTCTTCGAGTACACCCAGATGCCTTATAGTGATGATTTCTGGCGATTTTAATCCATGTAGTACTGGTTTCGACAAAAATCGTTTAAAACGGTTAACTGGCTTAAATCAAATAGTTAACGTTCCCACGAGAAATAACGCTATATTGGATTGGTGTCTGGTGAAAGCAAAACATCTTGTCTTCCAACCAATTCAGTTGCCTCCAATAGGTTCAAGTGATCATAATGCCATTGTTATTAAATCTTACATTCATCGTTCTAAAAAACCAGATAATAAGAAAGTTTTTAAAAGAGATTTGAGGGATAGTTCTTTAAAGTACCTATGTCATGTTTGGGGAAATAGACTTCTTAGATAGTTTAGACGATTTTAAGAACTTTTGCAATATATTTGATAAATCGAAAATTTCATCTTCATCGACTTTGAGGGCCTCAAAGTTGGTGATTTTGTCAATTTTTTTGATTTTCCGTGACCCTGAAAAAACTGGTAACTAATGTCATGTGTGACGTCAAATCGGGAAGTTGCGAAAATAACAATAAGCTATATTATAGAAAATAAAGACTGTTAAATTATTATATCGCGGATAAGCAAAGATTTTGTGTAAAGTTAGGCCTTTATGTGTTCGAAATTTATTAATAATGGTGCAAGAATGTAACACACAGATTTGTGGTTCCAACACCGCCGATTTACGCGAAAGAATTGCGCTACCGTACATAGAAGGCATGTGCTAAAACCCGAAACAGCGGAACGAAACGACAGAAACGAAACGAACGGAACTAGCGGAACCACAGAGACGACCGGAACGAAAGGACGGGAACAAACGAAACGACCGGAACAAAAATCGGAACCACCGGAACAAAAATCTGAACCACGTGATTCTGTTTCCCGCGTATATTTGATACGTCATTTTGGCTCAAACCACTCCGTGGCTCAAAAGTCAAACCCACAATTTGTGGTTTGCGTGACAATGCTGATGACATGGAAGAACTAAATAATACGGTATTGTATTAAGGCTTTATATTTTAAAAATTACCATGAAAGAAGTACCAATTGAGTGAGTTCAATCAGGCGAAAACTACTTCATTTATTGTTTTGTAGATTCAAAGGGCAAGGGAGCTTTTAGAAAATTTAGAAAAGAGAAAATTAAGGTATGTGCTTTCGCATTCTCGTTTTTTATGAATATTTATATTTATATGCTTACCAGCTAAAATATAGTGTCAAAAACGATCGCTAATTCAGAAGTTTAATTAATTCATGTTATTTTAAAATTTAAATTCATTATTGCAAGTCGTGGTGGGATGATTGCTGTACCCCTGTTTATGCTTGTCCATTGAGGGGTTGGAGTTAGGATAAGCTAACAACCCAGAACTACAATATGTAAAATATAAAAGGGTCGTTAGACGTTAGGGGATATGATTAACAAGTGGCATGCATCATCAGTATATGTAGTTATATAATATTAGTTAATTGTAATATAAGGTTGTGATAACTTTATTTTGAATGAAGTGTTTGTCTTAATTGTCTAGCTAAAGCCTAATCCAAAATTAATTACTATTTGCTTGTTTGTATGTCAAGGCCAGAACCAATAAGGGCCATATTTGGCCCATATAGCAAACCATCTCATTTAATAAATGTGCAAGTTAAATTAAGTTTTGATTGGGCCTCTTTTGAGCACAACAGGCCCAAAATTAATAACTTGTAAAAATCTTGTCAGCCTTGATTTGCAGTACCAATTAAAGTTGCATTCAGAAATGGAAATATTTTTAAGTTTCTAAAAATGCAATATAAAGATCTCATACAATGCCTTTGGGGTGCAGGGAACCTGACAAATGTGCATACTCACCATTAGGGATCTATATCTTCTTGCTTATTTAAAAATAAGTACATTTTTTTCTGTCCCATTTTCAAAATATTTTAAAATAATTATAATTTATAAAATGTTGAGATCTGTATGATTGAACTATGGAATTCTGCTGGAATTGACCAATCAGATTACAATATTTAAATACAATTTCAAAGAGTTTGAGGAGTGAAGTTGAATATTCGTACACAAAAACATGATAAAATTTTTCATGAGAGAGCTCATGTATCACTGTTTTTGTAATATCTAGCTGGTCTAATTAAGTTGTGTCCAAGCTTGTTTGTATTTCACTTTTGCTTTGTAGTTAACAGAAATTTGTACTCAATTTTAGTATTTCAAAGGAAGATGACCAAGTGGTAAGTATCATGTGATGAGAACTTAAAAATGTAATATACTTTGTATTAACAGTGTATTAATGATGTATTAACAGTTTCCTTAAATAAGTGAAAATACCATTGCAATATTAACCTTTTTTCAGAGATTGAGCACAAATTCTGTAGTCATAATCCCCTCTGACAGCGAGGCAACCTCTTCTGACAGTGAAACCCCCCCCCTGATGTTTCACATGGCAAACTAGTCAGAATAAAAAATGAATTTCCTCCTTTGCATGAAATCTATGAGATTCCAGATGATGATAATATTGAGGTCACCTTCACATCCGAGAACACCTCTCAACTCGTTACGTCTGGAACAAATAAAGAAAACACCCCAGTTTTCGAACGTCCAGTTAGAGGATACACAGCACAACGGCTGCTAGAGATCATAGTAGGAAAACAGGTTTGCGATAAAAATATATGTAAACAAGTCCCTCGAGCTGTACGCACACATGCTGCCTACGTTGTTGACATGGAAGCCCTTGGTTGCAGTGACATTTTATCCTTTGGAGATGATAATGGCAGTTGGGGAGGTCACACCAAGCCACGTCGGAAGTACAGGATTGAAGAGTCAGAGGAAGGAGGCATTACAAGTTCAAAAGTATACAAGCCAGATGATAGCTGCCTGCCTGACCCGGAAGATGTGTATACACTTTACCGGAATTATTTTCAGCACAGTCACACACCTACATTCCGAAAGGTCATTGCAACGGTGTATGACTGGAAGGGAAACACGCTGCCTCTTGCAGTTGTGCAGTATTTTTTTGAAGGAGGTATTGAAGTACCTATCAAGTTAGCTAGGCATGGAAATGCTAAAGGACAGGATGCTAAAGCTTACTTGAGAACATCTCGACCGGTCCTTCAGAAGATAAAAGATAAGTGCAAAACCATGTCATGCAAAAGGGCTGTAGACGAATGTTATGAAGAAGGTGGAGGAAGTATTGGCTGTACGTCAGTGGCAGATGTTTCAAGAAATAGAAAACAAGCATATAATCAAAAGATGCATAAGAAAGATCCTCATTTTCCTCAATCTGCGAAACGTCATGACTTCTATGATGTTTTGGAACTTCTCAACAAAGGAACGTTTGTCAGAGACTTCGGGTTTGGCAAATCATCAGCATCGCAACAAACGCAGCCAAGGTCTTTTCAGGCAACGGAATTTCAACTCAACCAACTTTCGAGAATATGCTGTTCTCGCAGGTTCAGTGCAATCCTTAGCATCGATGCGACGTTTAATTGTGGCCCGTTTTACGTTACCATGACATCCTACTAAAACACGATGTTTCATGACATCCTACTAAAACACGTTACAATTGGCCCATCAATCATCCACACGACTAAAGAGTTCGATGATTACCATTATTTAAGTAGTCAGCTCAAGTCACGTTGTAAAGCTTTCGAAGCACTTCCAGCTTTCGGCACAGATGGTGAGATAAATATCGTTAATGCGTTTCTATGTGAGCTGCCCGAAGCAGTTCACTTAAGATGCAAAATCCACTTGTCAGATAATAACTTATTGAAAGAAAACTCACAACATTGTCCTTTGGGAAAAATGCAAGGCAAGCAATATTGAATTCCATCTTTGGTAGAAGAATCGGTGCCATGCGGGAAAAAGGACTTGCTCATGCCGGCAGCGCTGATGAATTTGATAGCATGCTACAGCAGATGAAAAAAGAGTGGTGTGAAGTGGAAAGTACCCAACGCAGTTGAGAGGCAGAATTTCATCCGTGGTTCGAGAACCATCTTGGACAGGTTATGAAGGAAAACGTTATCTCCCCTATCAGACAAATTGCTGGGCTTGGTTCGCCGCCAGATTTCTACACACAAAATGTCGCCGAGTGCTGTAACAGAATCATCAAAGCCGATGCAGGGCACAAGTTGGGGTGGGCAGATTTTTGTCAGTCCATACAGGAAACGGCAGAAATGCAAGAAAGAGAGATGAAAAGAGCCATACACCAAGGAGGAGAGTATCGTCTAGCCCCGGCGTTCCAACACCTGGAGATCACGGCTGACAAGTGGGTAGATATGGGTTCTACCCAAAAAGAAGCCCATTATAAGCGGTGCTTCTCTAAGCCTTTGGATAAGCTCGCGAATGTAGATGATGAGGACACAGAGTCTGGTTCTGACGATGGAGATCTCAGTGTGTCCTACAAGGATACGGGTATTACCACAGTCTCGCTTGGCAACATGAAGCAATTGTGGCATGCTGCTGCTAAAATTCTGAAGAAAGATCAAGGAATCCTGCCAGTACCATGGGACAGTGTACTTCCTCAGAGAGATTAGTCTTCGATGGAGAAGGCAAGCCGCCATGCCATGTCATCGTTACTGGAGATATGGTCAAGTGTGGATGCCCAAAGTATAAGTCAGCTATGATTTGCTGTCATTAACTTGCTATTGCTGATGATGACGTTTGCTTACAGAAGTTCCTATCCCTTGTGCGAAAAAGAAAAAAAACTGCCAGATCCTCACCGACTTATTGAAGAAAATCTGTCGAAGTCCGCTGGGAAAAAACCCAAGACGCGAAGAAAAGGAAAGCCAAATGCAAAGACCTCTCCTCTTATGGCCATCTGTGAGACATCTAAACACAACAAATCCACCACAACGTGTGCAATAAATGCAGCCCCCAGATAAGACTCTATCGATGCTGCAACAGCTCTTTTAGAATTGTCTCAACGAGAGTCAACACCTGAAGAAGCGACTCTTTTCAGCCTGAAAGGCCTTGCTGGAACTCAAGTCCGAACGTGTTATGGATGTGGGAAACCATTACGAGTACTTCCTCATGTGCCAGAGCCTCCACATGATTTTTGCGTTGTTAAAAAAGAGCGTCGTGTATACAAGACACCCGATGGGTCTACAAAAATAACAAGTGACCCTCAAAACTGTCACTACCACCTGTATCAGGCGTGCATCAAGCGGAAGCACAGCGACTTCAAAACGGGGATGTTACAAATTCCAGTAGCACTGAAGAAAGAACTATCACCCATCCACCATGCGTGGCTCAACATGGAATTTCAGTTGCCTTTGTAAACGTTTTTCATAGTCAACACGCACAGATCTTTAAGGAAATACAGTGGGTAAAAACACCATACACTCTTCTTAAGGGTCTATCGAAAGGGTCTATAGCAAACCTCAATTAAGAGGGATTAAAAAAGTTTTAAGAAGTTACTATGAATGAGATTTCGCCACTACAACTTTTTGGTTTAGTCTCGAGTCTTCGAGAATTGAAGTTGCAAATGATTGCATGCTTCACGTTGTGTTACTTTTAATATTAAGAAGTTTACGATCTACGACGCTGCGACACGCTTACGCAGTTTTAGACGTCGCTTATGAAAATAAACCGCGTTAAAAATAACTGAAGCATGTTTAATTAAGTAACCCGCAGACCGCTGATTCACCTAAAAGGATTAGGTTATCGCGATGTGACTATTACGGTTAGCTCTTATCGTAGACTCGATAATTTCTAATTCAACCGCGCAATGCTGAGAATTCTACCATTGCCTTTTCGTCCTTGCATTACGTTCGTCTCGAACTGCCGCGTCGTAGCCGTGCGTCCTATTATATTTATTGTTATATTTAAAGTTAACCGCCACTGACTTCTAGTTTTCACTTAGAACCGGAACACTTTTAAACGTGAATATTCATATTTTGAAAAGGAATATAATGTAAATTTGTAGTTTTTTGGTAAATGGTGTCTAAAGGCAACCTCGTACCCAGGGTCTTTTTTATGTGTTCAAGCTGTCCACAGAGAAACAGAGAAAAGATCCTGGGTACGAGGTTGGTCGAAAGGTAGCACTATTGTTTCTTTATGCCCAGTTTCGTCTGTTACGATTTTGTTCAACATTAATAAAAGCAGCCCGCTGTAAGAAAAGGAAGTTGGTTCAGATTTTTGTTCCAGTGGTTCCGATTTTTGTTCTGGTCTTTTATTTTGTTCCCGTCCTTTCGTTCCGGTCGTCTCTGTTATGTGATAGCTACATATGTACGTACTTCCTGTTATACTCACTTCCGATTACGTGTAAACTATATAAGTAGCTATAGTCTTAATAAAGTTGTTGTCTTGTTTTCGGAACGTAACATGGTGGCAGCGGTAAAGCGAACCATTAAATAATAATAAACTAGCAATATCATGACTGATAGTGAACATCAGGTCGCACAGGCGCCAGTTCCTTATGGAATACAGCCGCCAACTGGCTTAAACCTTGCAAGCAAAAATCGAAAAGAGAATTGGAAAATTTATAAACAAAGATGGAACGACTATGCAATTATTTCGCAACTACAAAGGCAGACAGAAGAATACCGGGTTGCCTTGTTTCTCTATACTCGATTGGGCCCGATGCTGTAAAGATATACAACAGTTTTGATCTACCACCTGAAGATAAACGCAAGATATCGAAAATAATGGAAAAGTTCGATAGGTATGCTGTTGGCGAGACAAACGAAACATACGAAAGATTCATATTTAACAGCAGAAAGCAGAAGGAAGATGAAACTATTGATGAATACGTGGCAGAATTGCGAACACTTGCTCAGACATGTAATTTTTGTACATGTTTGTGTGATTCCCTGCTTAGAAATCGTGTTGTCTTGGGAATAAACGATGCAAACACTCGCAAGCGGTGACTAAGACAAGCAGATTTAACGCTGGCGAAGTGTATCGATATTTGTCGAAGCGATGAAGCGTCAACAACGCAGATAAAGCTCTTGGGTGAAGGTACAAAGCAGGAAGGTATACATAAAGTCGTTGGGACGGAAAACAAGAACAAGTCACAAGGAAATAATGACGGATTTCAGCGAAAATCGAAGGAACTGTATCGCCAAAAAGCAGATCGTGAGCGAAGCGAAATCAAGGCTTGTAATTACTGTGGCGACAGACACAGACGTGGGCGTGAGTTTTGCAGAGCTTATGGTGAGATATGCAATTTCTGTAAGAAGTCAAATCACTTTGAAAAACAATGCAAAATGAAGCTTAGAGCACATGCCGTGAAAGCAGAAGAATTTAGTGGGGCAGACTCTAGTGATTTAGAATATTTGGATAGTGTGAATGTTAAACCGGAGACGATCAGCGCCGTGGGCTGTGACCAGCCGAAAGAAATTTATGCAAAGATGCTCGTAAACAGTAAACCTGTGAAATTCCACATCGATTGTGGGGCGACGGTAAATGTTCTTCCGCTGAAACACGTCCAGAATAAAGAGAAAATCAAACCGACTGATCGAGTTCTGCAAATGTGGAATAAAAGTGAAATTAGCCAGAGGGGTCTTGTCGATTAACAATACAGAATCCAAAAGATAGTCGAAAGTATTCAGTCGAATTCATGATCGTTAAAGAGGATCTTACGCCATTACTGGGTGCCAGAGTTATTCAACAAATGGGGTTAGTAGAAATTCACATAGAAAAGTTCGAGCAAGTTGTGGGTATGGGAATAAAGGATACCCCGAAGGGAGCCTGCAGAGACCTTGTGAAAGAATACGATGATGTGCTTACCGGAGAACTTGGGACTCTTTATGGTGAACAGCATTTGGAAGTTGATCCGTCTGTGACACCCACCGTCTCACCATCCCGTCGAGTACCATTCGCAGTGAAACCTAAACTAAAAGCAGAGCTTGACCGTTTGGCAGATCTTGGAGTCATTACTCTGGTAGATGAGCCCACTGATTGGGTAAGTAATTTGGTTATTGCAACGAAAGAGTCTGGTGACATTCGCCTTTGCATTGACCCTAAACAGCTCAACGGTGCTCTAAAGCGAGAAAGATACCCAATACCAGTAATTGATGATGTCTTGCCTGATTTGGCTAAGGCCAAAGTCTTCACTAAAGTTGATGCACGGAATGGCTATTGGCATGTCCAGCTTGATGAACCATCCAGCAGGCTGACAACGTTCGACACGCCCTTTGGTCGGTATAGATGGAAGCGTCTGCCCTTTGGTATCTGCGCGGCCTCCGAAATATTCCAAAAGAGACTGAATCAGGCGCTAGATCGATTGGATGGCCTACTGACGGTCCATGACGATATGGTCATTTATGGTGTTGGCGAAACCGAAGAGGAAGCAATTGTGGATCATAATACGAAGCTGGAAGGGTTTTTTCAACGCTGCAGAAAGACCGGAATTAAGCTTAACAAGAAGAAATTGATGTTGCTCTGCAAGGAAATTCCATATCTTGGTCATTTAGTTACGAAAGATGGGCTAAAGCCAGACCCGGAGAAAGTGGAAGCGGTGTTGAAAATGCCAAGACCGGAAAACGTGAAAGCAGTCCGGAGATTTTGTGGGTTTGTGAACTATCTCTCGAAATTTATGCCACACCTAGCTGACGTCATGAAGCCCCTGCAACAGCTGACACACAAGGATGCGCAATGGCAATGGAACCATGAGCACGATGCAGCATTTGGAAAGTTGAAACTAATGATTTCGAATGCCCCAGTATTGAAGTTTTACCACCCAGAAGATGAGTTGACGGTGCAATGCGATGCCAGTGAGAGAGGGTTAGGAGCGACTTTGATGCAAAGAGGGCAGCCTATAGCATTTGCAAGCCGGACACTGACCGATCCTGAAACGAGATATGCTCAGATTGAAAAAGAGATGTTGGCGGTCATATACGCAATGCAGAAGTTTGATCAATATGTGTACGGGCGATTTGTGACAGTCGAAAGTGACCATAAACCATTGGAGTCGATTGTAAGGAAGCCATTACGAAGTGCACCAAAGAGATTGCAGGGCATGTTGTTGAAGATGGAAAAATACGAGGTAAACATCGTCTATAAGCCAGGAAAAGAGATGTATTTGGCTGACACGCTTAGCCGGGCTCCACTGAATTGTTCCAGGAACGTACAAGAAGAATTTGAGAGAGTAAACGCTGTGAAGTCACTGCCAATGTCGCCCGAAAGGCTCGAAGCAATCCGGAAAGGTGTCGAGGCTGATGAGGTTCTACAACAACTTAAGCTCATGATATTGCAAGGGTGGCCGGAGGAAAAGCAGAGTTTGCCAACGATATTAACGCCCTATTTCAGCTTCAGAGATGAGTTGTCTGTCTACGATGGACTAGTATTTAAAGGAGAGAGATTAATCATTCCAAAGGAATCAAGGAAACAAATGTTGGCAGAAATCCACAGTTCTCACATCGGCATCAATGGTTGTCTTAGAAGAGCAAGAGAGTGCATCTTCTGGCCAGGGATGACGGCCGAGATTAAAGCAAAAGTGGCGACATGTGAAACATGTCAAGAGTGTCCGATGAAGCAGCAGCAGAAGGAAACGTTAATGAACCATGAGTTAGCACACAGACCATGGGAAAAGGTTGCAGCTGATATTTTCACAGTAACTGGCAAGGACTATCTAATCCTCGTTGACTATTATTCCAACTTCTGGGAGATAAATCGATTACTTAATACGAAGGCGAGCACTTGCATAAGAAAGATAAAGAGTCACTTCGCACAAAATGTCATCCCTGACGTGTTAGTTAGTGACAATGGGCCCCAGTTCTCAGCTGAGAAGTTTGCAAAGTTTACCAAGGAATGGGGTATTGAGCACCGAACAAGCAGCCCTGGACATCAACAAGCAAATGGGAAAGCAGAAGCGGCGGTAAAGATGGCAAAGAGTCTCATACGTAAAGCAGAAGCATCCAAAGGGGATATATATTTGGCGATTTTAGCACAACGCAACACCCCGACTGAGGACTTCGAATCTAGTCCGGCTCAACGGTTGCTCGGACGACGTTGTAAGACACTACTGCCGACCACCACCGCGTTATTGAAACCACAAGCGCTCAGTCGGGAGAATGTTCTGAAAGAAGGAAGAGCTAAGCAAGAAAAACAGGCGCACTATTATAATAAAAGTGCGCAAGATCTCCCAACGTTGGAGGAAGGAGATGTGGTACGAATGAGACCATTCACAATGAACAAGAAGACTTGGGAAAAAGCAACGGTCGCCAGAAGGTTAGACGAGCGGTCATTTGAAGTAGAGACCCCAGCAATGAATTACCGTCGAAATCGAGTTGATCTTAAAAGAACGGACGAAACGTATATGACAGACGATGTGAATAATGAAGTTCTAAATCAAGAAAGAGAATCGATTGAGAAGTCTCGTCCAAACACAAGGAGTGTGAAAAAGGCGAAGGAATCAGTTGAAGTATCGTCAACGGAAAAGACTGGTGGAGAAGATGTGTCAAATGAACAAAGACAGGGAAATGAGGTCATGAGCAAGTCTGTAAATCCGCGACCTCCAGTTGAAGTCAGGTCAAGGCCAAAAAGAACTACGAGAGAACCGGCATATCTAAAAGATTATGATAGACGGTGAGAGAGGAAAAAAAATATGGTAATTCACATTTAACTCGAACTTGGGTTATATAACAGACAGTGTTTAGTTTTTTAAAATTTTGTTGTAACGATCTTAATTAGTGATATGAATTTGTTTTAATCTTATGGGACCTTTATAGTTCATTTTATATTTACTGGACAGCCCTAACGGACTTTGAAGGAAAGGAGATGTTATGTGATAGCTACATATGTATTAGGTGCATGTACTTCCTGTTATACTCACTTCCGATTACGTGTAAACTATATAAGTAGCTATAGTCTTAATAAAGTTGTTGTCTTGTTTTCGGAACGTAACAGTCTCTGTGGTTCCGCTAGTTCCGTTCGTTTCGTTTCTGTCGTTTCGTTCCGCTGTTTCGGGTTTTAGCACATGCCTACATAGAATTTTATATGGTACACCGCCCGAGGCAAAAGACAGGGGGAAGCTCAGTTTGCCTCTTTTACGGTAACGTGGAAAATAAGAGCCGTTTGACCTTTGAGGAGTTCGATCAGAACATTTTAATTAAGGAAGAAGAGATCGTGAGCAGTTATATTGGTATCAACGAAAGTTTTGATGTAAAACAGATTATCCGTCGTGGGACTTGTGGCTCATCGCTTGAAGTAAGGACACAATAAGTATATCTGTACGGCCGTCAAATTATTATAACAAAACTAGCAGGACATTGTCTGCAAGATATCACCGTCGCAAAGTGTCATCAATGCTCTCTTCACTTGTTTTGATTCATCGATATCGTGCGTTATGCAACAATAGAGAACATGAGAAATGTATCACACTGTTTTACTGTTTATTAAACCAAGTACTTTCAATATATATATTTTTTATTTCTCCAAGAAATAGTAATTTGATATGTATATGTTTGTACACTAACAGATTCTGGAAGTATGACCATAATCACAAGAACAGATTGAGACTTATTAATTTGCTTCAATGCCTTCAACTTGGGAAACTCGATCCACACACCACATTAAAAACAAGCAAAACCATGTTGCAGACTTGTGACAAACCCATAAAGGTCATTGGAATATTCTGAACTGTCTTTGCAGGAAAAAATAATCAGTTATTGAATAATGTATATATGTAAATATTTTATTGGTGGTTTAACAACACACAAAATCTTTAAAACATAAACCTATCAAACAGTAATTATGTATTGCTATGTCAAATGGTAAAATAAAGGTATTATAACCCTCCTAAATGAGCATACTTTTTGAATAAATCTACCCTCAAAATTTCATTGAAGTGCCTTGTTTATACATTTATTATTTCAAAATTATATATTTCTTGGATATATGCATGATATTGTGTTTTAATGCAAAAAAAAACTAGTTCACTGCAATATAGACAACATTTTGTTGCAAGCTACACACACAATTTGTTTTACAAGCTATTCAAATTTTAATTCATAATGAAATTTGCAAAAGTGTTACAACAAAGCTTAAATATTATATAAGTTGCTTACAAAAGGCAGCAATGAGTCAAATTCCTAAAGAAGCAACCTCTTCTGAATTCTGACTGAGTTGACTTATAACCATAGAATATGTAAATGAAAAGGAGTATAAAATAAATCCTTAAATATAGTCATCTCTGTGAAAGTCCTTTTCATTAAAGTTACTGCATATAACATGGCGGTCATGACATTCTTCTTTTCTCCAAGTGGCCATAATTGAACAAGTTGCATCCATTGTCAATATGCAATATGTACAAGTCAAGATAGCTACAAAGTAAAATGATAGAATGCATTATGAACTAATTGAGATCATTGAAGATACTTCTTATACACATATTAATGGTACCAAGGAATGCTATATAAACACTATTTCTCAACAGCTCTTGTCTCTTTGACTTTTGAATGCTAACTGCATGGCTTGGTGATAAAATTTATAGGTACCTTCTAGTAGAGCACTGTTCAGCACACCATAATTAGATGAGAATTCATGTGTATGCCCCAAATGCTTAGTTTGTCGTTTTACTTTGAAAAACGCTGGTCTACTCTTATAAATTTTGGTACTTCACCATTACCGTAAAATAAACATCCGATTCAAATAGCAAACGTTAATATTATGGCGTATATTACAAAAACAATTCTACTCACCATCTTTCCTGCTGCACGTCTTTCGAACCAGTCTCCGACTGTATATTAAGTATTTGCAATTTATCTTCATGTTCCGACTTTCTTTGTAATAGTTGGCAACACATTTTAAAAATATCATTCGGGTATGGACACTTCATTGCACTCAGAGCACTGAGTGAGTCAGAGCCTCAGAGAAGCGTCATCTTCAAGATTGTTCGATCGTAGCAATGCCAATGAACAGCTTGTGCGGCGTTATTTTCTGATTCACCTCGCCGCTGATCGGATAAGTAAAGCTTCACGACATTGTCGCATCCACAAATTAAACGAAACGCCACAGTAATATTGAACCAGAGAGGTGCTGAAATCACCTAACGCTCGCCTGCACTGTTTGTCTAGAATGAGGCTAAACTCTGTATGAAAGGTATCTGTATGAAGCACAAATTACCGATCTTTTTATTACAAATTACAAGGCTAAAATCTTCCGATGTTAGTGTGTTGGAAGGTAATATTAAGCACAAACTTCAGATATTAGTTGTGACCTCAGAATTACTGGCCAAAACTGGCCTCGGAATTACATTAGTTTTATTTGTGACCAATATTTCTTCCGTTTCTCGCAATCCGCGCACGTGATATCAACAGGTAAGTTAACGGACCAGGCAAAAGTCTCTGCTTTAAGCCGGGCGCACACACAACGATTTTACGGTAGTTGGTCCATTCAGGTTTAGACATATAGGCAGCCCTTGCCCAGACATGTTTTCCTCGCGCGCCGCGCGTGTACGCGAGTCTACTTGGTCTAATATTATGACCAAGTATGGATCGCCAGTCGCCACATTTTGATGAAAACATCCATTTAGACAATCTAGACAGGAATCGGCCGACTAAAATCGTCGTGTGTGCGCCTAGCTTTATGAAATAAACAAGATTGGATTTTTATATCTACACAAAAAAGGATTATGCATCAAACAACGAAAAGGTATGTACATAAATCTTATATAGAGAATAATACATGGATGCGCGGAAATATGGAATTTATTTTGAGTGTAGAGAATGATATCGAACGAGTGAGCGCAGCGAACGAGTGAGATATTTTTCTCAACACGAGAAATAAATTCCATATTTCCAAGCATTCATGTATTTTTCTGTTTATTATATAAAGCGTATAGTTTTTACAAACCCAATATATATCCATTTTCATCAACTTCAAATGCTTTATTTAATAAATATTAACGTGTTTCAACTGAAAAAAAAACAAATTTAAAACGAGAAACCTTTCAATGGCAATGCATGCAAAACTTAAAAGTAGGTTACATGGCATTTTATAATTCATGCTATTTATGCAACAGATTATTCAGAAAGTTTGAAAATATACTTAGGTTTCTTGGCTACTATCACTACTTTCTAAAGGACAGAGTCTACGATATTTTCTCTTCGGACTTTCAGCTATTAAAGTTTGGCTATTTGACGCTGTAGAGCTTGCAACGTGTATGTTGAAAGTACCACCAGTAATATAATTACCGCTGAACATCGATAAAGTTTCTGTTTCATTGTTTTGCTTCCCTGCCTCAAGGACTAATGCCCTTGAGTACGTGTCATTCGTCCTTTGTGACAAGGTTCGCGACGGCGACGGAGTGTCTGCAGACAACAACGATGAAATGGCTTCTTGTTGCTCTTCACGTAAACAGCTATAATTGTTTATAGATTAAAGATTTTTGTGGCCTGTCACTTGAGCAATATGTGTTGGTGGCACGTTATGATCCTGAAGTTTTTGGACAAGGGTTTTTCTTGCGCTGTGGTTGGTAATACGCTTATTAGCCCCAATCTCTGCCTTTGCAGCACAATTTTTCATCAAAGTATTAAGTTTGTTTACACCCATTGGCTGTGCTTTAAACCAGGGTTTGCAGTCTTCGAGTGATGTTTCGTGGGAACGACAATTGTTTACACTTAAGTAAAATGGCGAGTTTGGTATAGGGTTTGTTCTGGTCGTTTACTTCGATATAGTTTGTAGGCAAAAACCGGATCTCGCTCCGGTCCAACGGCTTTGTTTTCAAACATTTTTGGTTTTACTGCTCTTCGATTTGCAGGATTATCACCTGGTCTAGTTTTTGTTTGCCTCTCTACAGAGTATTCGAGGTATTCTTTGCCATTTAGGTCGGTTTTTAATTCAATATCTCCCCATTTCAAATCTCGTTGTTCCTTGCCTCCTCTCAAACCAAAGTGCAAACAATTATTGAACCAGAGAATGTTAACGAGGGCTTCTGCTGAATGAATTCCCATAACTTTCGAAGTAAACAGTGCAGTTATCTCGTCATCAGTAAGTGGAGCAGCTTCTTGCGGTTTGTTCCCTTTACCAAGTCTTTTTAAAGTGCCTATGAAATGAAATTTTTTATTTCATATTCGTGAAGTGTTTAGTGTACAAACGACTATGTTGAAGTCGCAAGCTCTACAAATAATTTAAAGAAAAGTTATTGGGGTTTAAACTTGCCGATTTGGCCAAAAAATGTGGTTCACTTTCTGCGCGGTCAAATGGCGTCAAATTACTTCCGATGACGTAAAGAACAGGGCACGCACAATAACATAAGCTCTTACTTTTATACGAAATACACGAAATCTCGACTTTTCGAACAGTCTTATCGCATATTATAAGCTCTAAATAACGAAGAGTCTCGCTCGAAACGTCAAATTAAACCTTCGTACAACTTCAATATGACGAAGCGGTTTAGTTTAACTTTTATATAGGCTTGCGTGAATCGCAACATATGACAAGATAACACTACGCGCATAAGCGCATTTTATGATAAACAACTAAGCGAAAGGTTTTTATACATTAGAATATAAGCCGTAGATATGGAGGAAACATCTCCTTTATGTGCAAATGAAAAAAGAAAAATTGTTGTTGTGTTGCTGGAAGGCC